TTGACTTTGTATTAACTTAAAACGTTTGCAAGAATAAGTCCCATATTTAAAAATTTTGATCATTTTAATTAAAAAAAAACCCAGAGTGTTTTCACCCGAAACGGAGGAAGATATCTCGTGGAGTGTCAACATGAGAAAAGTATTAAAGCTAGACTGATGAAGTACAACATAAATCAGTTATCTTCTTGAGGTGAGATAGACCTAAGAAACGTTTAATCATGCATTTTCACCTGAAATGAGTCTATAAGAATGTCATCTTAAAAGATTAATCTAAATCCGCTTTTTATTCGTATATACACGGTTTTAGTAAGTCGCCCAAATCCTTTTCACTAAATCCATCGTAATGGATACAGGAAATCACCTTTTACCAATATCCAAAACCGAATCAGAAGTTGACATGCAGTTAAGCCATAACGCTGAGGTGAAACGTCTGAGGAAAGTGACTACACCTACTTGGCAGGTAAGATGACTTCTGTGCACCCAGTTTTTGTATGATGCCCTTATGCGACAAGATACACTCCAATATAAGCTGTGAACGATCCACTCATGATTTTTTTATCAGGTTTGGTATCAGTACAGTGGCACATTGAAGAAGACATTTTAAAGGTAGATCATACGTTTTTTGTGCCTGGTCACTGTCATTATAAAATACGGAAGGTATATAGGAATGTTTAAAAAAACAGTCGCAACGTCACAATAGGTGCTATTAACGCTATAGCGCTTGAGTTTTTCAGATCGAATTAATAAAGCGAATGACTAAGTTTTTGAAAAACTTCATATTCGGAACAACGAGACCAGACTCAAGCGTCTGCCAGGTAAGATAATCAACCCAGCCCAACATTTACTTAAGTCAAGACGTAGATTAAAAATGTGAAAAGTAAGTTATCATCCCAGGCCGCTTAAGATTGCGAATTAGTAATAGCGAATCTTTCCATAACGATATGGGAAGGACTCATGATCACATGAGATGTTATCTAGTCTTGCAAAAAAAGCGAGTTTTCGGCACCTCAGCCAGTCAGACAAGGCGAAAAAACAAGGTACCTTAACTAGCCTGGAACAAACTGTATCAAATAAGATAAAACTGAAACATCGCTTGTGCAGTTAGCATTAACAAAAAAATAAGGTTCAGTTCAGCCTAGAAGCAGTAGTCATGGGGTTCCTGAGGACAATGATAACCGAGTCACCACGAAGAAACATCCGGCTGATAAAACGATCCTTGTTCACAGGTTTGGATTTCTTTACTCCTTTGCCAGGCCTAGGATGTTCGGTCCACATTTCTTTAACATTCTCAAGAACCATGTTAAGGTGGCGATCAAAAGCCTTAACGCGTCCAAGGAGCTTTTTGTTGTTTCGACAGTTAATAAGAACCTTAGAGTATCAAAATAAACATAAAATGTTAAGTTGTCGAAGGGATGAACTATAAGTGACTCGTTTCAAAGAAGCGCAACTCACCTGGGTATTCGTCTTGACAGCATTTGTTAGTACGGAAAGTGGACCGGTTTCAAATTCTTGCTTTTCTAGCTCCTCCCGCTCCTCCTCAGTGAGGTTATCAGCAAGCTTGGCCATAATGTGATGACGAAATGTTAAAGGAAGCGGCACAAAAAAAATATATTAAAAAAAAGCTATTTTAACTAAATTAAAAAAAGCTATCTTAACTAAATTAAAAAAATTTATCATATAATAATAAAGTATTTTAATTATTTTAAATATAAACTAAAATTTTTAATAATTAAATTATATTACAATTTTATATTTTTGACTTTTTAAGAATGTTTTGAGTATATTTGGTTGGAATTATTTGTTCCATATTTGAATTGCTTTCGTTATCTCACGGCTCCTTTCTGCTCCTTTTGCATCTTTATTTATTCGAACTACGCTTTTGTTCACATGATAGTTTCTGTCTCTTCCAAATTTAAACATTTCTTAACTTGCCCATCTGTACTACAAGTTACTATGTGGAATCAATTCACTGGTCAGTAACTTTTATTAGTATAGACTTCTTATTATGCTTAGTAAAGGCTAGTGCTCTGCCTAATTATGCATTCTAAAGATGTTAAGCGTCTTCAAGACCAGCAACCTTATCGGGTTTCTCCATATTCCCTGCAAAATCAACTCGATCCAGGCTTTAATCTC